CTAAAGACCGTCCCAAGACCGTCCCAAGACCTTGGAAAAAAAGCTAAGAAAGCCAAGAAAGCCATCTCGAACACGAGGCAAAAAGGGGGAAAAAAAAAGTGATCAGCAAAGTTTGAACAAACAAGCATAGAAAGAGAAATGGACGAATGAGTCGCATCCAAAATGACACGCCAGCAAAAATCGAGATGCAAAAGGCGGAAACCTTTCCATTTGCCACCAGCCGCGCGGAAACCAGGCCTTGTTGAAAAAGAGCAACTGCCCCGATGAGAAGCGACAACCATCACTTCTTCGATAAAGCCACTCACGCTCAAATTACCTCAATAGGCAATTAGAAGCATTTAGAAAAAAACTCTCTTCCCCCAAGCGCGACGCCTCCTTCTTTTGGGGGCTGGTTATCCGTCCGGGGAAGAACAAAGTTAAAAATCCAGGCTAGAAGGTTTCGAACATCGAGAACAACGGTTGGATGGCTCGTATACCGGATTGATGTATTCTTCGTTTTAATTTTCTCTGTCTTCTGGGGAAAAAAACGACCCTTTTGACATTGGAGTCGTGTCGCGTTGTCATTTGCGGTACTCCAGCCCCCCTGAATATTGACCGGATACCTTCGGAAGCTGCATGCAGTAGTGAAATTGAGATGTCGCATTGCAGCCAACAGCAGCCGTTCTCGTCTCAATTTCCCCTAGCATGGCTGTCGGAGTGGCTTGAAGCCACAGCAACAGAGCAGTGTCAGCGGCCCAAAAACAAGGCTCTCCCCATGAATCAGTGGCAAAAGCCACACCAAAAGAACAAATACAGGGCAGATTTCATTAAAAGTTTTGCCATTGGTTGATCACATTAAAAGCAAGAGCCCACTCCACGCCCAATCAGCATGCAAATGCAAGACAATAACGGCGCAGCTGAAAAAGCAAAATTCGTGATTCCGCGCGGAATCCGTGCAGGAGAGAGGGTCTAGCCGCGAATTGCCGAGCCCAAGACGTCGCGAAAGCCGTACGTGGTAATCGCGCTACGATCCCATGGCCTTGGATTCCTCGTTAATTGAGTTCAGCCTCGTTTTTAACAGACAATTAAAAGCGTCTCGGTGAGGCCTCAAGTCCAAACTGGTGGCGATGCTCTCGCCCAAGTTTCCACATGGGCACGGGTTGGACCCATTGGGCCCTCTTCCCGATTGCTTGCCACCAGATTCATCTCCCAAAACCTGGGGCCCCGGATTTGCCAAGTTGCCATGACAAAGAGTTATTTGCATCTCTTGCATCTTGGAGCATGTGTTTAGTCGATGGGGCAAAATGGAGTTGCCCAGATTCCAGGATCTCGCCTTTGCTCCGGGAAGTTGCAAGTTTGTACGTAATTGAAACTCCACCATGGGGAGGGGGTGAGTCGAGAGAAGCAAAATGATCCCATCGCGAGTGTGTCAACTCTGGCAACTCTAGTAGTAAACGATTACTCCGCAACTGTTGAAGTCGTCATTGCCGATTTTCCCTGAGCTTGGAAACGAAGAGGCGGAGGGGAGGCGCTATCGAATGGTCGCGGTGGAAGCCAACTAAGAACAGCTCAGCTTGTGAAAATAAAGAGCACACTGCCCAATTAGCTCTGACTTCTTACCGTCGCATTGATCGGATTAAGCTTGAATCAAAGTGATGCGTTTAGAATGGATACAGTTCCATTATAGGTAACATCTGCGTCGCAAGGAGGAGAGGATTGTCGTTCAGCGGTTGCGTTTCAAAGAACCAATCCGCCTCTTGGCATAGCAGTTGATGCTACGCAAATGCACGAATTCTTCTGAGATGTAAGATTGGGTGCCAATGCGTAGCGCACAGACATCCCGGAGCTCGATCCTGTCTGGACCAGGAGCATGCTGCTGCTGACGGTTGAACGTCATGAGGGGTTTCCTTCAGCTGTCATAAGCGATGGATGCTGGTGGAGCGTTATTGAGTTGATGATTCCAATGAGGGGGAGACCAAACGCGCCATCTCCTCCAGCTTTGAGCGCTTAATGCTCGAGATTGCGGAGTAGCTCAAACAAAAACTGCTAATAGACGAAACATGGGAAGATAAACTGACGTTACTTGACACTGACTCGTAAAAGATTCGACCAACAATCAAACGTATCACTGCTTCCCTGTCTAATCTTTCGGTCGAAGCGCGGCGGATCCTCTAAAAGGGAAAACAGGAACCCACCAAAGCGGAACAGGGTCCTCGAGATATGGAGTTGACACATAGCCTCCTCGAGACGGGAGCGATTTGTTGATCGTGGCCAGCTTCTGCCTTTTCCCGCCTTGCCTAGCGATTACTGTCATCACTTTAACAAAGAGCAATAGCTTGCTCGGCTATCTCTCTAACTCAGTCGAGTCAAGACGCGGCTGCCCCGTAGTAGACGCCGCCAGCTGATGATTATTGGGCACGAGGGCACGCATTGAGCTTATCAGCTCGGTCTGCTTTAGTATTAGCACCGCCATTATGGGTGCACATAGTAGGCATACCGAATCGCGTACGATTTTGGACGAAGGGCTAGCAGAGGGAGCGGCGTCGCCGATCCTTGAGCAACGATGCCATTCGTCCATCTACCACGTTAGTAGAGGAGAACTAGCCAGATGAGGCTAACACTGGCCGGAGCAAGTAAGTGAGGCGGGCATTATATTCCAGCATCCAAATAGCGTCGTGGGAGGTGGCATGAATATTGCAAGGGCCATTGCTGAGGCCTAGTGCTTGGACAGGTATTCAGTATGGTAGCATTCTGCGGTGTCGTCTTCCGGGAAATACGGGGACCGTATCAAGAGGCATTAGTGCTATCTAGCTGATGACACCTGAAGCAATCCGTGCTTGGCTTGAGGCAGCTTGCGGCATCAGCTCTGCGTTCGGTGATGTTTAGCCTTTTCTCACGATTCTAGAACAAGACAAAGGTCTAGTCACTCCCCGTTGACAAATAGAGACCGTCCTAAGATGCGCCCTCCGTGCCGCCTTACCCTACGGAGAATTTGGTGCTTTGCGGGGTGATTGGAATCGCCTTCGATACAGAGTACCTAGAAGCGGCAGAAGGCCAGCTAGGCAAGGCACGTCCTGCAAGCTACCAAAAGCTGTTCCTGCGGGCGGCAAGGCAGTGCTGACTAGGCCAGTAGGTTAAGTGAGGCGCCGCAGATGTGGTCCGCTCTTCTGACATGTGCTCGGCGATGTAGCATCAAGGCTGTCCTCCCGATATCCATGTAAGGACAAACCGTTGAAAGAGCTGCTACTGTTCCATATTCGAGGTCGAGACGTGATCCGAACCGTGCCAGTGCAAGTGGGTAGAGCGCACGTGCAATGATGCCTCTGCGATGCCGAGATTCATTCTCTCTCCACTTGACATGTGTTATCGCCCAGCTGTGGCTCTCCCTTCTTACTAACGAGCCACTTCACCCCAGACTAGCCGAGTCGCATATGAGCTGTTCGTGGTCCGTGTGTACCGCCAAGTTTCGTATCTAGTGACAGTAGTATCCAAATACGCAGCGTTTAGATTGATATCGTGGCGGAGAAGAGATATGAAAACAACGCTAATAAGCAGGAACAGTCAGTCATCCGCGCGAAGCATGGCGTAGAGGGGGCAACGAACAGTAAAGCCTCCAGCCAATCAGAGAGTCTGGGTTAGCAGCCCTTCTTGCCCGAATGTGGTGTCACCTAGGAGAAAAAAAAGCCTCCTGCTACAGTAAGAGCGCCATCTGGGTGTTTAATCAGCTTCTAGAAAAAATGTCGCATTCTAGTGCTGGCACTCGGTGTGGTGGCGGACAGTCCTCTGGTATTGGATGCCTCAAGTGCCCTCGGCTATCATGAGGGAGGGGTCGGGATAGCCAACGGAGGCAGAAGGCATGGCGCCACAAGCTACTATGGTTGGAGAACGCTAAAAGCATTCTAAATCATTCAAGGTTCTGGCGTGTCCAAGAATAACGGGAGTTGTAATTCAGGTGAATCGACCTTTTTAGCAGGCCAACGGTCGATGCAAGATTGTTATCGAGACCTACGTAAGAGTACTAGCCGCATGGCCAGTTCGCAGAAACCTGAAGGCTACTAGTTTACAAGTATGTAGTCATGAGTGGTGAGTCTACTAGGCATGACTAGTGATACAGCAGAGAGAACTACTCTGCGCCGCTTGTACCTGCAATCTAGGGACGCTGGCCTGGATTGGGTTGCTGGACGAGAGGAGAAACAAGCATCGCCCAGATCACGGTGGTAGCGTCAAGCTAGACTTCACCCATCTGTCACGAGAGGCAAAAATGGCCATTGTATTTCCCAATAGCCTTGCTGAGGCTGATTTCGCGTCGCTAGCGCTTGACCCTGATCGTGCTCTGTACATATCCCCAATACAGGCGAGAAAGAAGCGCTGCAAGGTTTGGGAGCAGGTATACCATGTGCGTGAGATTGGTCTGCTCGTAGGGGTTCAATGAATTTGAAGCCTGCGGGCGACATGCTCGGATAACGACCAGGATGTTAAAAGCACTTGACAACTGCGAGCTTACCGGATAGTAGCCCTTCCCTCCGGAGCCATGGCACCAAAGAGAGCAAAGACCCCTGGAAAGACTGGGTCAGCCTGTTCGGTCAGAGATAGATTATTGGCCTCTTCTTTGCCCTGGGCAGATAAGCAAGATTCGCTTTATTCATTAGAGCAGATAGCTGTGGAAAAGTGAGCAGACGATCCTCTTCCTGTCCTCGAAGCAGCGGGCCTCTGTTGGCTCACGACTCGTGTTCGCCCGGCGACTTGTGAAATTGGATGATCGGCGATGATACCAGAAGGGAGAAGAGCGTGCAGAGGAGACAAGATGCGACCCGCCGTCGCTTCGGGCCAAGACGACAGCTTTGGGCCAGGAATGGCAGGTCAGCAGGGCAGAAGCTTGCTAGAATGCTTCATGGAAGCCCACATCGCCACCGGGAGGGCATCAGATCCAATGGCGAGCCGCGAATAGTGCTAAGCTTGAACAGAAGAGATAAACCGGCTGCGCGGGGATGCAACCACCAACCACACGCTGTTGACCTATCATGGTGGGTGGAGGCTTATTAGGAGCCAGGGTCTTGGCTCTGCTGCAGCCAGACGACGCTGAGGTTGTACGAGGCGAGGTTCTCAGAATGACGCCAGCAGCCGGTATGTGATCGGTGTATGTGCCACAATTTTTTGCTGTATCGGTATGAGACACGAGGCGAGGCAAAAGCTGGCTTCTATCGGCCGAGCCGTGAACGAGCTGATGGGATTGTGGATCGATCACACGTTTATCGCTAGATGGCATGGCTGTCGGCAGCGAGGCTGTCTTCTGCAGCAGGCGGTATCATCGAGGCGAATTCGAGCCATGTGGCGTGGGCAAAGAAGCGTGGAAGGGGGAGTGCGACAAGATGGCAGCCAGGCTGGCTGGATGGAAATGGAACCATTGCGGAGACGAGTCTGGTGATGTCTGGACAGATGCGTGAGCGATCTGGGTGCTGCGGAGTGCTGGCGAGGCCCGAGGAGAGCTGAACGCAGGCTAACATGAGTAAGTTGCTTTATTGCAGCCCAGCAGATGGCGTGAGATGTTCCTGGCCTCTGATGGCAGATGTTGATATGGAATGGGCTCGATATCAAATCATCGATGCATGAGTCGAGTGTGAGTCGAGGAATATGGAGTAAAGCACCTAGGCAGGATTCTGGACAGCTGCAGCGAAAAGCATGTGTCTGCATACCTGTATTGGGTGTCCCTTCCACGAGGCGAAGCAGCTGTCTCTGCTAGTGATCGTGGCTGCCATCTGGCCTGCGAATTCGTGCGAAACACATGTACCGGGTACAAGAGCCTACATGTGCTCCGGTCGTCATGGCGCTTGGCCGAGAGCAAATAGCAGGCGGTGTGCGGAGTAATTCGCACTGACTGTACCGTCAGGTAGCAGCAACAGATACTGAAGAGCCAGGCACCATATCAGGGTCTCGCCGAGATCCAAGCAGAGACCCAGGCAAATGACACCCCGATTCAGATATGCATTGTGCTGTACAGTATACCTTATGCAGGTGCTGATGTACGTAGCAGTGATCAGCGTAGCCATGCGCATTGTTCGCCACGAGGCTGCGTGCGCTACAGAATTAGAGTCAAACAGCATCGCTCTCCCGTACGCTCTAGCAACCAGACACCCGGAGCATCGCCAGATGTTCTGCTGCAACTCTACTCGAGTCTCTGCAACTCTGCAAGAGGCACGCAGGGGTTATCCGACGACCCAATTGGTGGGCTAGCCTTATTGGCAACCCGGGGCTTGGAGTAAATGTCGCTTGCGCCACTGCCCCGTCGCGCTAGCATCTCCAAGCCCTAGCGCGGCACCGGAGACCACTGAAAGAAGGCCAGCAGCCACCAACCCCCAACTTCCCCGTAGAGACAGCGGGCTCCGAACGCTATCTGGTTCGCTGCTAGCGTCACGCGGCATCCACAGATAGCGGCAGCAAAACGATTTGATAATCATAATCGATGCATGGTGCGGGGGATACTGATAAACATGCCCAGGGAACGTGGCTCCAATATATGGTGCACGGGCTACAGAGTCATAGTCCCCATACGGCTGAATCCCTCTCTTCCTTTGGAACCAAGCGCTTGGCTTGCAATCCAACTCTCTGCAATGAGCTGAAGACGATAAGCACTGTGGAGAGCAAATAGACACTTGTGCTAAACCCCGAAATGCAGGTAGTGTCTTGGTAGACGTCTGCTAGCACCATCGCTGGGACTGCCGCCAGGTTTCGGGCAAACACCAGGGCCAAGATCTGCACCACCAGATGCTAAATGCAGCGATTATTGGGGGAACAGTGTCCAGAGGCAAGGGGGTGCGGGGCCTTCCCTCGACCGGGACCAGGATGCAGCACGCGCGTAATAGACTGGGCTACAGATTTGCCCAAGTGACGGTGCTGGAGATATGATATGCGCCATACTGGATGGTGTAGCGCTCGTACTGTGTTGATGAGCCTGCCTCTTGTACTACGTACGTGGTACGGTACTAGCAGCTGATAGAATGGCTGAACCGTTATTCCGTCGTAGGTTGTATCTGTACCTTATGGCTGCAGCTTCTGCGCTACAGCACATGTACGAGGTTCCTGTGCAGTAGCCTCAGAAGAGAGACAGGGATTGCTTCCGTCGCCTTGACTTTTTGTTTCTTTGCGTATGTTGGTGTGGTAGTGGTACCAGAGCCATGGTCCGGCCGATGGTGAGCAAGCAAAACGCCAGTACTGGTACTTTGCGCACCGCTTGATCAATCCATCGCTCTCATGAGCTGTGCACGGTACGCTGGACGTACAGCAGCCTGTATCATATAGGAGGCAGGACAAGGCAGGCTGGGCACAGGTAGGCACAGGTAGGCAGAACAAGACCATAACGGGAGAACGGGCCTTTTGCTCTTGGCTCTGCATATGCATGTGCCGATGCTGATGCGGTGCTGTTGGCTGTTGCTCACCTCTTGGGGAAATAGGACCGCGGGCGATGCGATACTCGTACAAGCGTCGATACCTTGGGCTGCTCGAATCTCCAGGCCCGGGTCCGAGTCCAGGTACCTTCCGCCTCGCTTGATTCAGGCAGGATCCCTCCGTCCCCCTCCTCTCTCTTCTGCTCTGCGCACTCTCTGGCGTTTTTTTCTCGCCTCACCCCCCCGGCAACTCTGGACTTCAACCCAGAAAAAGAGCTGCGAAGCTAAAAGCCTCGAACTCCGTTAGCCTCACACACCAAGCAAGCCTCCAAAATCGCCCCTCTGCCACCCCGGCCATAGCGCCAGCACCAGCAATCGCACCAGCGCCAGCGCCAGCAGCCAGATCCAGAGCCACGACTTTTGGTGCAACGTCCTTTGGGGTCCTTTGGGTTCCTGCGAATGCTTCCATGCATAAATTGTCGCTTCCCGGCCCTCCTTGTCGACACCGCCCTCTCAATCGGTATCCCTGCCTCACTCGGTCCAGAGGGTTGTCGACTGGTCCCCAACTGCATCTTTTCTTTATTTAGACCAATTGTCCCCCTCATCTCTCGTCCCATCTCTTCTTCTTCTCCTCACCTCCCTCTTCTCTTCTCCTCTACTTCTCCTTTCCCTTCCTCAAAGAGACAAGACACAAGAAGAGCAACACCAACGCCTTCATCATGTCTAAAGAGGAGAGTGGCCATGTCACTCCCGAAAAGGGCGACAATGTTGTCGACTATCAGGCCAGCACGACAGTCATCCCCACTGAGGGCCCCGAGCGCGACGCCAACTGGTTCACGCGTAATGGCCTCAATGCCGATTCCTTCAAGAAGAAGCACTATGGCCCGGGCATGGTCGAGCTTGAGCGTCCCATGAAGGCTCGCCATCTTCACATGATCGCCATTGGTGGTTCTATTGGTGCTGGCTTCTTCGTCGGCTCAGGCGGTGCTCTGTCCAAAGGCGTAAGTTTTATCTCCTTTCCGATAATTCGTCCTTCTGGTCTCTTTGGCGCAAACGTTGTGGACGGTTTTGCTCATCATGTCTTGCAAACCTATAGGGCCCTGGTTCTCTCTTCATCGACTTCCTCATTATTGGTATCATGATGTTCAACGTCGGTAAGTGCTATTCGCCGCGCAAGCTGTCCCCAGTATGACGGTAATCTGACAAGGCTTCATTAGTGTATGCTCTCGGTGAACTCGCCATCATGTACCCCGTCTCTGGTTCTTTCTATACATACTCTGCTCGTTTCATCGACCCTGCCTGGGGTTTCGCTATGGGCTGGAATTATGTTCTTCAGTGGGCTGCCGTTCTTCCGCTTGAATTGACAGTTTGTGGTATCACGATATCGTACTGGAACTCGGAAATCACCACCGCCGCTTGGATCTCTCTCTTCCTTGGTGTCATCATCATCATTAACCTGTTTGGCGCTCTCGGCTATGCCGAAGAGGAGTTTTGGGCATCATGCTTCAAGCTGGCTGCCACCGTCATCTTCATGATCATCGCCTTTGTCCTTGTCCTCGGTGGTGGTCCCAAGGATGGCCGATACCACGAGTACTGGGGTGCCCGCTACTGGTACGACCCGGGCGCGTTCAAGAATGGCTTCAAGGGTTTCTGCTCCGTCTTCGTCACCGCTGCATTCTCCTTCTCCGGTACTGAGCTGGTCGGTCTTGCCGCTGCTGAGTCTGCCAACCCCACCAAGAACATGCCTGGTGCTATCAAGCAGGTCTTCTGGCGTATCACCATCTTCTACATCCTTGGTCTCTTCTTCGTCGGCCTGCTGGTCAGCAGCGATGATCCCGCTCTGCTCTCTTCTGCCGCCTACTCTGACTCCAAGGCCTCTCCCTTTGTGCTTGTCGGCAAGTACGCTGGCTTGAAGGGTTTCGACCACTTCATGAACCTTGTCATTCTCGCCTCCGTCTTGTCCATCGGTGTCTCTGGTGTGTATGGTGGATCCCGAACCCTGACCGCTTTGGCTCAGCAGGGCTATGCTCCCAAAATCTTCACCTACATCGACAGGTCTGGCCGCCCCCTGCCCTCCGTCATCTTCCTCATCCTGTTCGGCTTCATCGCCTATGTCAGCTTGGATGCCACCGGTCCCGTTGTCTTCGACTGGCTTCTTGCCATTTCCGGCTTGGCCGCTCTCTTCACTTGGGGCTCCGTCTGCCTTGCCCACATTCGATTCCGCAAGGCCTGGAAGTACCACGGCCACACTCTGGATGAAATTCCTTTCAAGGCTGCTGGCGGTGTCTACGGCTCATATCTCGGCCTTTTCATTTGCGTCATTGTCCTGATGGCCCAGGTAAGAATATACTTTCCCAAAATCTGATACAAGTATAAGACATTTTACTAACCTCTCTGCCTTTAGTTCTATACCGCTGTTGCTGCCCCTCCCGGAACACCTGGCGTGGGTACCGCACAGGACTTCTTCAAGCAGTACCTGGCTGCTCCCGTCGTCCTCGGTTTCTGGATCGTTGGCTGGCTCTGGAAGCGCCAGCCTTTCTTGAGAACCAAGAACATTGACGTCGACACCGGCCTCCGTGAGTTTGACTGGGACGAGATCAACGCAGAGCGCACAAGACTCGCTGCCCTGCCTGCCTGGAGACGCATCATCCACCACACCTTCTAAGAGCCTAAGCTCGAAGACCATTTCTTTATCCATTTCTTTTCTTTTATTCAACACATGTGTTGTTCCTCCGTCGATACAGTATAGCATCATGTTGGATGCAGACTGGAATTAATGAGGCGGAGTGAATTCGCATGTCGATGATGTAACGCTGTATATGCAACCACGCCTACGATGCGGTGGGCGACTTCTTCCTGTAAACAATTAGCTTTATTTTATGCAACATGATACCACGGCGGCCGTAAGCAAGCCTCTAACGGGGATGGGAATCAAATCAATATATACCTGTTCATACATTTAATAATCGATATGTAATATGTGTTTGTGATGATCAATTTTGGTGTAGGCTGGTTCAGAAATCGCGCTGCTAACTATTGCTCAACGTCTCGATGATCTCGGTTGTTGACATTTCGCAGTGTATCTTCGTCAAATGTCTGCTGCTTGTTGAGAGTAAGGCATGGTGGCAACGGACGAAGTCGCCAGAGGACGAAAATGGACTAGAAAATTTGAGACGGAAGTGCTGGCGTGGTATCGATGTCGAGTTTGTAGTGGTCTGGTCTCATCGAGATATGAGAACCGGAGATCATCCTATTGACATGGCCTATGGAAATTATTGAATAGTAGGGATTAGATAAGAGGAACTGGAGAAAAAAGATAAGGTAAGACGAGAGAAGGGAAATAAATCTTGAGAGGAGAGTTTGATAATAATGAATGATGAGTGAAGTTTTCCATTCTTGTTGTTTGCATTGTTGAGAATAAAAGAGAGATCAGAAAGGCGACAAGGGTTGTGTGCATGTTTCCTTTTTCTCTTACCTCTTCTCACTCATTGTAAAAATGAAAGCCTGAAAAAAACTTACGGGTATGAAGAACCTACCTATATTTCCTTAAACACACCTGCTTAGGTAGTTACCATTATCTCATCGAAAAGTCCAATGGATATCGGGAAGGGGGGCTGGAATATATTTAGCTTGTCGTTAAGGCGCGCTCGCGCCCTACACATTTTTGACATGGACATGTTTGGATGGATCGGTATCCCCCATGACACACCGCACTGGCACCGCAGTGCATGGAAGCGGCAATAGCGGGACGACGTAACCTGCGCCCTATGGGCGGACCGCGGGTTGTAATCGGAGTGGCGTGGGCTCTTGGTCGGTGTGGAGAGACTGAGAATCGAGCCGGGGGGTTTTGGTGTGATATACGAGCTGGGGGGAGAGCACGGAGAAGAGCAAGAGATGGTGGAAATGAGAGAATGAAATTAGAGGAAATAAAAAAAGTGAAATAGGTATTAGAGAAGAATTTAATTGTGTGAAAGGAGTTGAAGGGGCAAAGAGGCTGAGTTCTCAACATTGGAAAAAAACAAAAGATCGTTGATACCATGGGTGCTTTTGTTCCAAGTAAGCTACTTAAGGCTGGCTCCCTTCTATTTTCTTATAGGCAAACTTACCTACAAGGGTGCCCACTAGCCCATGGATTTTCTCCACGCGTACACATCGCAAATGGGAAGTCTAGGACGACAGCCGAGAAGACGACATGAACAGAAACAAGCTACAGCAAGGGCTTACTATGATGTATGTATGTATGTATGTATGTATGTCTTTGCATACATAATCTGTTCTTTTTATACTTCCGTAATCTAGATCGGAACGGAAACACGAGCAGGCTTTTTTTTTTGTGGTGGAGACTTTGGCGGGCGCTGAGTAAACAAAAAACGTGTCAGGAGGACTGGATTTTGAGTCTTGCGTTTTAGGGCGCGGTTTTGACTATCGTTAGTTTTGGGACTTTTGATATATGATGGAGAAGGGCAAAAGTAGAGGGGAGAAGAGGGAATGTGTGTGAATGAAGGTTTGTGGGGAGTGGGTTAAGCTGTGCAGTTGACGCTTTTATACTACTACGAGCACTGCTACTTGTCTAAGACATGATCAACGTCTGCGGGCAAAAAGGTCGTCAACGCACCGCAAAAGAGAAAAATGGCCGTGATTGAAGATTTAAACAACTAGTAGTAGTTCAAGAACAAAGGGGGCAAAGAAAATAAATTATATATACTAAACAGGAAGCAAAAATCAGGCTTAGTAATTTTGTCGCTCCACCATGCCCATCACATCGCCAACAGCCGTCCTCCCCAGCTTTTTCAACAAAATCTTCTCGTCCGCCTCTCGGTATCTCTCCCATCCATCTAGACCTTCCTTTGCCTGGATGCTCAGCGTCTCGTAGCCCTGCTTGATAACCTCAGCTACTTGGTGCGTCGTCAGATTGGCTGGTAGTTTCTTCTCCGAAGAGCCTCTCTCGGTCAGCATCTGTTTGTAGTGAGCGCTGACGTTGATGAGCGTGTCGATAGAGTTGCTGTTGCGGTTCCCCAGACGATAATTTTCTTTAAAGGATGTGAGGACTTCGCCTGATTCGAACACCTTGTAGAAGAGATCGTCGTATGCGGCAGGCGTCGGTAGGAAGGCTTCGCCGGCGGATAATGACAGTGCGACTAGATTAACGACGTGGTCGAGAACGGTTTCAATGTGCTGCAAGTCTTTCAAGTCCGAGGCGTATGTGTTAAGGAAACGGATGAGCGATAGCAAAGACCGGAAAAACTCTGACCAATGATAGTCCAATCGTGTTCGTGACCGTGAAAGATAGGAGATGATTCGGAGCATGATGCCTAAGCAGAGGACGTAGAGACTGACGTCCAGCCGTCTCTTCAAGTTGTGGTTGATACCATCCAACATCGTATCGAGGACGCACGTTGCAAGAACACGATCTCCTTTTACCAAGGGCAAATACGGTGGTCGTTGTCGACAGAGTCGTACATGCGTCTTGGATTCGTCGCTGCAAACTTTTTTGCAAATGGCCGGGTCTTCAATAAGAAGACGGAGCACCATCAGATTCAGATGCGAATAGTACGTTGCTCGGGACGACAGATGAGAGTGCTGCAGCAGATAGGAGGTGAGCGACAGGAAGCTAGATATTGGGCGCTCTTTGTCTTTTTCGCTGGGTAAAGTCACGAGATGGAAGCAAAACAGCTTGTTTGCGTGCGAGAAGTCATATGTTGCTAAGAGAACAGCAGCAGTTTGGCCGGGCCTAGGGTGTAGGATAATGTTAGAATTCTGACACAATAGCGGCCGTAATTTTTTTTTTAATAAGGGCTAGTCATCACTCACAATTTCGTAAACAGTTGTTTTGCCGTTGCAGCGTCATACACGGGCTTCTTCTCGGGCTTTGGCCCAGGCGAAATGACACCCAAGCCAATCATGTTCAAAGTGCTGCTCAACGTCCAGCCCTCGGGGAGATCCTCTTGGATGTCGACATAATCAGATCGCAGTGTCTGGCAAGCATTTCCGATGCAGCGAACAACCTTTTGAATAACTGCTTCATTGACAAAGTCGTTCAACCGTAGCTGGTACGGATTCTGGAATTCAAACTTGTTGTAGTTGGCAAGTATCCCCAGCAGAATAAAGGGTTCCAGGTCTTGATCAGGTTGCTCCGAGCTTTGGATAAACTAGAATGAGCATATGAAGATTTAGTAAGACCTCCTATTCTCAGACGCCTGGATTTGGCTCTGCCGCTCTACGCACCTTCATAATCGATGGGAACAAGTCCCTCTGTATCATGTACGTCAAAAGCGTCGTCTGATATGCTCCCGCCGAAACGGCCAGCAGCACCTCGATAGCCTTGTGGCGCAGATCCACTCCATCGCACCATCCGTCAGCTTACAGCACTTGTCACACAAGCTTGTTGACAGGTGTACACACAGTTTGTCCCATTCCGTATAATCCCATCGAGGGTGCTCACAAAATCCGTAAATACCGTATCGACGTGATCGAGGCCGGCCAGTATAGTGATGATGTCGGAGCTCGGGTGCGCGTGCTTCTTCGTCAACACGCATGCGAGGAAGACGCTCAGGGTCTATCCAGTCCAAGATGGGATGTTAGCGATTCGTCCTTGTCTGGGAAATCGGGTCTCGAATCAATGCCATGGCGCTGCGTACATCAAGAGCATATAAAGGAGCTGCGCCCTTGCCATCCTTGACCGCCGCAATCGCCTTGCTAAAGAGCTCCCTCGTGCGCCCCTCCAAGAGCAGCAGGTCAGCCGGGTGGATTTCGTTTAATATCTTCCTCAGCGTCGGCCGATCGGGTCGCAGCAGGAAAAACTCCCGCCAGAAGCCTTCCGATTTGTCGCCATCGTCATCGTCCTAGTGCGTTCGTTTTCGAATCAGCGCGGGCGCATTGCAGAGCCAGAAATGTAGAATACCTTTGGAAACGGGCTGATTTAGCTAAGATGGTCTTGCTTGACACGAGGGCCAGGATAAAAGGGGGGCGCTGGGCAAACCTTGAAAAGGGTTGAGTAGAGCTCGACAATCTTGGGGACAAAGACCTCTGGCTGAGGCTGGCGTGTCAGCGGTGACGCCTCCATGGGAATGCGAAGTTGGCGAAGTAGAGAGCTTCAAGCTCCTGTCATCAGAGGCGATGGAGACGACGTGGATGTCATTATCGTGAGGTGGGGCAGCCGATAAAGAGAGCACAGCACTAGACAGTCTGGTGCGCCGGGCACTGTATAAACCTATCAGTATGATGAGCTATTTGACAGTGCTGTGATATACACATGCACTGTATGCACCCCGGATCACAACCCAGGCCAATCACATTCTTTAATTGGACTTTCACGATATCGCTCCTATATGGATGTGCTCAGCCAATACTCCGTGTATACGGCGTATATGTGCAAGGCATGCATGCACTTCGGAATCATCCCAAAGTAGAAAGCCCGAATCTGGCTTCTCGTCAGTATACCAAATAAAGCTAGGCAGAGAAATGGCTGTAGTTTCACGTCCCACATTTGCTGCCCAGGAGATAGCGTCTGGTCTAATTACAATAGTACGTAATATCTCTCAATAAGCATTATTCACGCGCGCAGATACACATACAATGTCAGAGGCAATCAGATTTGAAGAGTCCCCAGTGATGTTTCATAGAAATTTTGGAATTTAATCAAGGGGCTTTTTGCGTAAAAACAAGGCTAACTATTCGTGCCTTGTGGCACTTAGCCCACCTCTCTATTGTAGCAGCTTTTTGTGACGACCGTGTTGTTGAGGGATAAAGGGCGATAAAACAGGCTTTTTGGCTGAGGAGAGCAGGAAGAGGTGTCTGATGCGATACCAATCGCATCTACTCGGCGTGAATAAAACCCTCTTGCTGTAAAATCATGAAGCCCAAATACAAGAAGAAACAGTCGGTCAGCTACATAAGTTGTAGCGCCATCGAGCCTAACAGACACCATACGTGAAGCAGCAACCTCCTCCTCGTCTCAGTCTGACCTTTGATGACCTCTTCAAAGTAGCAGACTTTTCCCTCTGACCCTCTCGCCAAACACCTTATCTCCCCAAATTTCAGTATCATCGTACACAACACCTCGCTTCTGAATCATGTGTCAGTGCCAAGGTACGCCGTTTTGTCGTAGAAAGTCGTTATTAAAACAATGTAGAAAGATCTTTTTCTCTTCTCGTCCCATCACATCATACGTTTGGGACTCCCATCTAGTGGCTCATTTGCTAACAAACTTCATTTAACCAAGGATGGCAGCGCCGCCAGACTCGATGGCCTCAATTTCGCTCAGGTCGATAGGCTGGCGGCGGAAGCGGGCAGGGAGCTCGGAGACGTCGAAAGCAACGCCCTTGGGGGCCAGGACAGAGCCCAGCTTGTAGCCAGAGGAGCCGCCAATGCCAGCGTCAGAGCCAATGGTCCTCTGGAGAGGACCGTGCTGTTGAGCGTGGTCACGGTAGGCGCCGAAGGAAGAGTGGGTGGAAGCAGCATCACCGCGGCCGTAGGCCGAAAAGTCCTCGGGGAGCTTGCCTGAGGGGGAGGCAGGGTGAGGCTGGGGAGTGTGGTCGATTGAAGCTAGGGGAGAAAAGCGTGTCAGTACGCAATGTCCCTCATTTTTCACATGGCATGAGAGACGAGACGAGAGGATGAAGTTGCATGCACTTACAAGGGATGGATCGAGGTCCAAGGAATCGAATTAGAGGCGTGCGCTCGGCGTGGACCGCAGCCTGTCGAAGAACTCTTGTGGCATACATTGTTGGTTTGTATGAGTAGATTATTTGTCGAGAGGGGAATAGAGTAGAGTAGCGAAAAGCCAGATGCCGAGGATACGATGGCGGGGTTGTCGTCGAAGTGTGTGTTATAGTAGTAGACGCTGTTTACAAGACTTGGAAGGATATGTTGGAGACTGAGAGTCAACTTCGAACAGGCAGCGGGCAAACTGCTATAAGAGGAGCTGCAGGTTGTCAATTAGAAAGCAAGCGATGTCGAGATTCGCGCGGCGCGAAAGTGGAGGTTCTCTCGAATTAATAAAACAATCGGCCGGAGGCTCGGATGGGGGCTTTTACTAGTGGTAGCTGGTCGCGAAGAGAGAGGAAAAAATAAAAATTATTAAAAAAGGTGCGTAATGAACCGCCTATCCCACCTCATAGCTCTTTTGGGAAAGCCCGCTCGTCCAGGGCTTGTTCAGGCGTTAGGCTGCCAGTCAAGCAGGCCGGGAACAACCTGTTAGCGCGCCCACGTCCGAATTCGGGATCTCGGAGAACCCACCGCGGCCTCACAAGCTTGCAGTCTCACGCCTTTCTACTACGCAGTTTGAAGCAAAACTGCACTGAAGCGAAGAGAACCCACCCGCACCGTTGCACCCCGTCTTATGTCTTCAGGCGCCAGGTAAGAAATCGTGCCACGCATCTCCTGATCGGCGGGAAGTAGCAGCGGAATCGCTCGCGTAGACTCCAGAGTGGAAGTCCGAAAACTCCTCTTCCCCATGTTTTTTGGAAACTCTTGCCGTCTAATGCCGTGTAATCTTACAGACTGGGCCATGGATCCTACATACTTGGCAGTGCTCCTGTAAATAGGGCGCGTCTTCCACATCTCAGCAGTGCAAAGCAACGAGTGCGCCACCAGAAATAGGCCGTGGATGATGCTTTGGAAGCGGACATACAGGAGGGTCCAACGGAGAGAATCGGAGCTTCAACCACCAACTCTACTTACTAGCCAGCGGTCTAATATAGTACTGTTCCGTACTCAGCTGCGTTTACTATATGTGTCGGTACCTGAATCATACGGTGCTCATCTGCTGATCCAAGCCAAGCTCTGCTGGTGGAATACAGCCTTTGTGTCGAGGTTGGGGCCACGCAATCGCCTCAATCACGATCATCTCGGCGTTTCCCCCATAGTTCGGAGTCTTTGTTATCGGAATCTGACCCTGGTCTGTCGCCATGCATACTCATGCATGCATGCATGTTCGTGACGGGACGGGCTTCTCCACCTCCGCATGTCGCAGTGCTAATAGCCCTGGCCTATCGGCTGCTGAGTGTGAAACCCCGCGGTTATTATTGTTTTCTTAATAATATTTATCAATTTTTCATGTGCCTCGAGATGATGCTTCTTTGTTCAGGCGCTTACAAGTACATAAGTGTAACTAGATACTAGTATCCAAGCAATACTCCCACAAGGGACGAGACGACTCAACTTGTTGCTGTTATTGGCAATCCCGGTAGGAATACGTGATAAGCAGAACAGGAACAGGCGCTGACAGATCTGACGGCGGTAGCAGAAATGACATGTGCCTTGTCGTCGCAATGCCTTGTTCGCGCTCAATTACCCAATCCGGCCACCTTGACTAATCGCCAACCGGGCAGCCAAGCCACCGAGAACCGTTTCAACAAATTTCCCTCTTTCGTATAGTAGTCTGGTGTAGGCTTATTCAGTGCGCCGAGAGCAAAAGAAACTCTCATCCTTCTAGAATTCACGCCACGAACTGCGGTACCTGCCGTTCAAAAGCTTGTTTTGGTCTGCCGATTCGACGGCTGCGCCGGTATCGTGTTCGCCACTATATCCTTCTTTTTACTAATGCCTATCTCAACGTCAACGTCAACATCAATGCCAACATAGATGTGCTTCTGTTGCTTATTGCTTTATAAGAATCCTACTGCGTCGCCGGACGCATCGCCGATAGCCGATCGGTCCCCGGGTATGTGATTGCGCAATAGCCCGGCCACTGCTCTTATTGCGCCGTGAATAGTGACATCGTTTGTGCATGCACTAAAGCTATAACCTTACCCATTGATGTCAACGCTCCGACATCTCTGGCATCTCTGATTCTCGTGATTGACGGGTGCTGGTCATCAAAGCATAACTTCTTGATGCTTCATCTAATATTTTATAGTCTTTGTAAATCAATTGACAGCAAATCAAAAGTGTGCAGAGATTAACATCACAGTTCCGCCCAACCCTCCTGTCCCATCCGTTTTGTAATAACACTCTCGCTGTGCCATTTATCCTGGTATTTTATATATGCTTTACTCCGTTTTCTTCTTCTTTGAAGATGAGTGGATCATGATGGTAAATCATGCATCTTCCCCGCAAAAAAATTGCCTCAGTCCCAACACTTCTATGCCCACGACTCAAGATTCTGGACAACACATCCTGCCTGGCCATCTTGTCTATGAACCAGTCTGCCAATTGTGTACACACGCTCATCGCCACTGCGCAGAGCCGATACCATAGCCTCAACTTGACTCGCCTCGACGGCCACCACCATGCCGATACCTGAGTTGAATGTTCGGCACATCTCTGCCGGAGCGACATTACCAGCTGCCTTGAGCCACTGGAAGACGGGGGGCATTTCCCAAGTACCATACGCAATCTCCGCTGCCAATGAGTCGGGGAGCATGCGAGGCACGTTCTCAAGCAGTCCACCTCCGGTGATGTGAGCGAGACCCTTGATTTGGCCGAGAACGGGCAGCAGGCTCTTGACGTAGATCTTGGTAGGTGTCAAGAGGGACTCTCCAACGGTCTTGGAAGAATCCCAAGGAGCAGTCGAAGAGTAGTCCAAGCCAGCGGCCTGCACAATCCTTCGCACGAGTGAGAAGCCGTTGGAGTGGACACCGTTGGATCCGAGACCCAAAAGGACGTCGCCCTCGGCCATGGCATCCTTCCGAGGAAGCATGCTGCCGGCGGTGACAGCACCCACCGCGCAGCCAGCCGCGTCGTAATCCTCGTCCTTGTACATGCCGGGCATTTCGGCGGTCTCACCGCCTACCAAAGCACAGCCGGCCTGGATGCAGCCGTTGGCGACGCCCTCCACAAAATCAGCAGCGGAAGCAAGGTCCAGCTTGCTGCAGCCGTAGTAGTCGAGGAACATCAAGGGGGTAGCACCCTGGACAACCAGGTCGTTGACGTTCATGGCAACGAGATCGATACCCACGGTGTCGTGCTTCTTCATGGCTTGCGCAATCATCAGCTTGGTTCCAACACCGTCAATGGCGCCAACCAAGATGGGCGCGTTCGGATATCCGCACTGCGAAAGGTCGACTTCGCCTCCAAAGCCACCAATCTCGGCGCTGGCTCCGGCTCTCTTAGTGCTAGCAACAGCCTTCTTAATTTTTTCCACAAAGTCATTGCCGGCCTGGATATCCACGCCAGCCTGGGCATATGTCATGGAAACCTTGCTCGTGTCTCTGAAAGCACGGTGGGCAATATCCTTGCGGAAGAATTTGCCCTCAAAGTCAATGACGTTGGACGCCAGAGCAGCATATGAGGCATCGACGGCAGCTCTGAGTGATTCTCCGACAGAGTTAATGGCAATCACGCGGCCACCAGACGTTTTGAGTTGACTTCCATCAAGCTGTGTGCCGGCATGGAAGATGGTGCTTCCCGCAGGAGGACTCTGAACGGTCATCGGGGTGCCCTTGGCGTAAGAGCCAGGATAACCGCCAGCAGCAAGCACCACTGTAGCACTAAACTTGTTCTCAATGGTGATGTGGACGTTGTCTAGATAGCCGCCTGTACAGGCCAGCATGATCTCGGCCAAATCGGTGTCGGCGGAGAGCAGAGGCAGCACGGTCTGGGTTTCGGGGTCACCAAATCGCACGTTGTACTCGAGCACCTTTGGCCCAGCGGGGGTGATCATGAGACCTGTGAACAGCACACCGCGGAAGGGCTGCTTCTCCTGTCTCATACCGGTGATGGTGGGCACCAGGATATCCCTATCGATCTGCTGGACCAACTCAGCAGTAGCAATGTTTGTAGGCGCATAGCAGCCCATGCCGCCAGTGTTTGGACCCTGGTCGCCATCGAATATCCTCTTGTGGTCTTGAGCCAAAGGAAGAGACTTGATGGAGTAGCCGTCGCAAAAAGTGAGAACGCTGAGCTCATCGCCCTGAAGGAACTCCTCAATGACAACTTCGTCTCCAGCATCGCCAAAGGCCTTGTCAACCATGATTTCCTTCAGCGCATCCTTGGCCTCTTGCTTGGTCTGTGGGATAATGACACCCTTGCCAGCAGCCAGACCGGTGGCCTTGATGACGACGTCGTGGCTGATGCTGTCAATATAGGCAATCGCTTGGTTGTAGTCGGAAAAGTTCTCGTAGGCAGCGGTAGGGATATTGTATTTCTTCATAAAGTCCTTGGAGTAGGTCTTGCTGCCCTCGAGACGAGCAGCCTCCTTGGAGGGTCCGAAGCAGGGAATGCCGGCACTGCGAAAGAAGCCCTCGACACCATCGACGAGGGGGGCCTCGGGGCCAGGGACGGCGAGATTGACGCCATTGGCCTGGGCGAACTGGACGAGGCCGGCAAAGTCTTCGGCAGAAACAGAGGAGACGTTGGTGACCTTGGGGCAAGTTGCAGTGCCGCCGTTGCCAGGGACCGCAAAGATGGCGTCGACTCGAGGAGATTGGCTCAGTTTCCACGCCAAAGCGTGCTCGCGGCCACCGTTGCCGATGAGGAGGATTCGAAGGCCAGCCATTGTGGAAAGTGACGAACTGACGGAGTTCCTCCAAGGATATCAAGTCAAGATATCTCCGTTCGAAATTAAGGATGCGACAGAGGTCCGTCCAGCACTTGGAGGGGCCAATGTCAGAAGCCTCCCGAGAGAGGAAAAAAAATTTCGAGCTCGAATGGCTGCTATTTTATCTCTCTTAATAGCAGCCAATAAGGGCCATCGATTGTGTCAAGCAAGCTAATTATTTTTCTTTGAATTGCACGTCGAGGTGGGGTGGAGGCGGGGCACTGATCAGCGCGCTACGATAACGGATTATCGGCCACTATTACTCAAAGTACCGGCGCCGCCAGTCTGCTAAGACTCGCCTAATAAAGCTGCAGAATCGGTACAACAACTGACATGATTCCCATATCCACCCAACGGCAGCAACCACTTATCAGCTCAGATTTTTTTTTTCCCGCGGGGTCCTGCCACCAGCAAAACTGTCCCTCCATGGCCGATCGGAGCCATTCAGTCACTGTTAAGAGCTCTTAAGGCTCCACCACCAGCATCCAGATCAACGCGAGCAATTGGAAGATGAGATCAAGCTGTTGCATCTCGGGCTTCATCTTGTCCTTTTGACTGTACCACATCAATCCCGGCTTCCTCTGCCCAGTTACCCTCAATGAGGTTGACTCAGCCTCACTCTGCACACAGACTGGCGTAATACAGGCGGTCTGAACCCTTTGATGGTCAGGTACGACGAAAGTCTTTACTTGGACTGACTCTTCTACAAGCCAAATGTTCCGAGAAGCATCGATTATGCCCAGCAAATGCAAAGTCTGGCATCATCATACAAGAAGAATTTGAGAAGCTTGAATCAGGCCTCTGTGAGATCGAGAAAGATTGGGGAGCCGGCACATTTACTACTGTCCCCGGCGTCGATGAATATGTCTCTACTGCCAACGAGCTTAGGCTCGGTGAGATCATTGGAAAGAATATTGCTGGCAAGCTCCACACAGGGCGCAACCGCAATGAACAGGCTGTATGTAATATGCTGATGCGGTTCCGGAATGGGCTTCGAAAGATTGGGGAGCACCTGGTTAGCTTCCTCAACATCATCGCAGCCCGTGCTGAGCAGGAGATTGACTACGTCATGCATGGATACACCCCTTCAGCGCCCTCAGCCCATCTGATGGAGTCATTGGATGCTCTCATACGGTTTCACTTTTACCGGCGATTTCGAGAGGCTTAGGGAGGTCCTTAAGCGCATCAACAGACCCCCTGGACTGTGGCGTTCTTGCCGGCAACCCCTTTGGGATCGAGTGATATGATTACCAAGGAGCTTGGCTTTGACGGCCAGTTTTGAAATTCGTGACTTTGTATCATAGGCCCTTCAGTGGGGCGCCATGTCATGCAGCATATTTCTCGCTGGGCCGAGCTTCTCACTATCTACTCTACCGCTGAGTTTGAACTCGGCCGTCTTTCGGATGTTTACTCTACAGGCAACTTCCTGATGCCTCAGAAAAAGAACCCTGACAGTGTTGAAAGATGAAGGCTTCTTGGCATCTCTTTATGCTGGCTACAGATGCTGCCGGTTATCTTGTTCGCAAGTAAGCTCCCTTCCGAGAGGCGCGCCACATCTCTAGTCGATGTGTCGCCAAGCCCGAAGAGACTGGCATTTCCATAAATAAGCTCTCTTCTAAGCAGCTCAAGGCTATATTGATAGCCGGTTCAAAGAGGATATTGCCGGGGCGTTTGTGTATGAGACGAGCGTAGAGAAGAGGTCAGCCAATGGCGGCACCAGCAAGTCATCGCTGTTGGAGCAGATTCAGATTAAGACGGCACGGCACGGCATCAGTTTGAAATGAAATGTTGGGTTCAAGATTGAGAAGATGTAAAATGAGGTCAACAAACTAAATTTTTTCTCGAAAAGATGAAAAAAATCGTAACAGCATGTGTACCAAATCTTAGGCTGTGCAAGTTTTGACCCATTGGATGGCCTCTAATACTGCCTACCCATCCACATCAAGCAGCTCAGCCAGTCCTGGGGATTTGCCCTGCTGAGGCGAGGCAGCCGAGTTGCCGGGAATCTGCTGATGGGATGAAAAGCTAATATTAACATCGAACCAGCAGTTTTCCGCATCCACACTCAGCTTTAATCACTGCCATGGAGGCGCGAGCGAGGCCAGCTGACCGCGTCTATAAGCGGCACGGGACGACGTCGATGAGGCACCCCGGCCACGGGAAGGGCTTATGCAAGGCACTCGTGGCATTACGCACCAATGATGTTGTCGCCACTCGTCCACGATTTCGCCATGTCGCAATGGAGGCCTTCCAAGGACCTGCTTGTCTCTGGGCCTGGTTCTGGTTCTGGTTTTGGTTCTGATCACTGCGGAGAATCGTCGTTGGTGCAGGGCCGATCCGAAGCCCGTCCGCAGCGCTCAGCTACCCCACCGCCCACCATCAGCCTCTCCGTTTAGGTCATAAGAATCTCGCGATAGGGCCCTAAACAAGGGGCTGGTTAGGGACTATCGAAGCTGAACCCCTCCCCGGAATCTGCTTTGCTTGCGGCAACCTTTTTGTTTAATCATCCCCCTTGCGTCTCATCTCACTCCATCCTGCGTTTCCAAATCGCATCTGCATAGGATTCTGCTGGCTACGGGTGATGCTCCTATTGGCCATCCCCTGCTTTCTCAGTGCCTTGTTACCCGTACTTGCATTGAAAGCGGTTTCTATTTAAATGCAGATCACCCCTCAAGGATCTTGGCCGTTGTAATCAATACATAACGACTACGCAATACATATTCCCCCCCTCTCTTGCCTTATTTATATCTTCTGTCTGCTTCTTTCTCGTCATAGAATCTTGTGCCACCTCTTTTTCTTACTTCTGTCTTTTGCATCTGACGATATCAAAGGCTGTGCACGAGGCCTCTTGGTACCTGTACCTGCTGACACCTACGACCTTACTTCAACGAGATCCGAATATAGTACACGATACCAAATTGTTTGAAAGCCTCACCTAGACTGGCAGCCACCTTTTTCTGGAAAGGATTATTCTTATATAAATAAACGCTACTGGCAGCAGTGCTCCCGCGCTTTCAAGATGGACACCCAAAAATTGGATTTTGTGCCCTCTAAGATCGCCAACGACATGCAGGTCCGAACCAGACAGCACAGAAACTTCGACAAGATCGAAGGCCAACTCGTCGACCCAAAAGACTCCGCTGCATACCAACTCTCCATCAGCGGCGTCCTCAATAATTTGAGCCTATGGAACCCCTTCAACAAGGCAATCGTCAAGGGCGACATTGTGTGGCTGTTCGACAACACCGCCTTCAAAGAGGCTGAGAACGAAGAATGGCAGGCAGAGTTTATCATGGCCGTGTTTGAGAACGAGGCAAAGTGCAAGGTCGCCGATATCGTTACCAGCATTGCTAGTGCGGTCGGCCTGGCTGACGATGCAGAGGAGCGCAAGACGATTGAGCAGAGGCTGATGCCGTTTCTGTGGGACATTCGGACTGCGAGGACGACGACCGTAGCGCAGGGAGATTTGTCTTTGAAGCTAGGGCCGAGCGGTTTTAATGGAATTGCGACGAATGTCTGCAAGCTTTTACATCATAGCAAAGGGTCGTTTACCACCAAGAAAGCCACCCTTGACGTTGAAGGCGTGGAGGGTGTTTTGAGTATGCAGACTCATTTTGCACTGCCTGAAGGCTGGGGGATCATCTCTGGTAAGTACGGACAGGAAAAATGTATACTTTCTGTGAGGAAGCTAACATTGATCGTAGATATTGATGACACAATCAAAGTTACAACAACCAGCGACCCCGTCAGCATTCTCAAAGAAACCTTCATCAACTCTCCATCTCCAGTCCCAGGAATGCCCGAGCTCTACGCAGGCATCAAATCCTTCCTTCCGCATGACACGCCATTTTTCTACCTCTCCGCATCACCCTACAACCTGTATCCTTTCCTGAAGGATTTCCGAGATACCTATTACCCGCCAGGAACTTTTATCCTCCGAGACTCTAGCTGGAAGACCGTAACTGGACTGCTCTCTTCTCTAACTGTGGGCACAGAGGAGTACAAGGTAGACCGTATGAAGAAGATCAACTCGTGGCTTCCCAAGAGGAAACTCATCGTCTTTGGAGATTCTACACAGTCGGATCCCGAGGCCTACGGCGAGATGTAAGACAATGCCCTCCTTCTCCCTTGACACATGCTTATTCTAATACTTTGACAGTTACCGAACGTTCCCCGGCTGGATTAGAATGATCTTCATCCGCAAAGACACCAATTCGTTCGCCGTGGGGCTCGAGGAAAAGAATGAGCCACAGAGATTCGAAAAGGCGTTTACGGGTATCCCACGAGAGGCCTGGCACGTCTTTGAGAATCCTGACGAGTGTTTGGACCTTGTCAAGGCTGCGGTTAAGAGAAACTCATAAGAGGTGGATCAGATGTTTAGTTATTTGTTTATTTGATGCTTCTGTTATGATAGCGATATAAATTTATGCATTTTGGGTACATGTATACGATTTGAGATTGTTTCGAGGCTGTACCAAGTTATAGACGTCTTAATCTCACATCTAGGGCTGACTTCTCCCTAATACTTAGTAGGTATACCGCATACCTAAGTAAATATTACATATACGAATACACAATAATCCTATGACTGCTCCCTTCTCTCCCTCATGCCAAAAGAACATCATCCTCTCATCCAAGATTCGGTAGAGGGTTCCCAGGCACGACCCATTCAGGCGCCCAACGCTGACAATCCCTGGCTTATCGTGTTCCCTTTTTAGTTTTTATGTAACGTTGAAAAAGCCCTGTTAAAAAAACGCCTTTCGCCAAACCTATATGCAGTATATCGTGCCCAGCCAAAAAAAATATATTATATCATTCCCTTCTCCGTGTATAATCCCCCTCGTCTGATATCAAGAGTAGCCAGTATATACTGAATAACCTCTTCAATGAGCCATGGAAAAAAACAAAAACAGATAGCCATTTCTATCATACGAAAAGCTGGTCTTTAATTTGTTCAGCCGTCTTTTTCGCCAATTCTTCCTTGGCGCGCTCTCCGAAAGTAAATCCATCGTAGAAAAGGTGGTCGTTGGGAACGTCGCATTCCCGGCCGGTATGAGATGCGTCAACGCCAGTAATAGCTCGGTTGGCGGCAATACAAGGCGTCCAGACGTCAAAGAAGCGCATGGCGCCATCTGCGGGCATGGAGCCTCGGCCTCTGCTGTCTTTGAGGCCTGATCGCTGCATTTCTTCCTCCGTCATGGCATCCAGGACATTCGAGACCAAAGTGGATTGCAGCCCCAGTCGTCGTGGATATGGCGCATAAATGATGTCCTCACCGGCAATTCCCTCTTTATTATCCGCGTCTTTAGGCTGAAGCGCTTCGGGGAGGTAGCGCAGCAGAGATGTCATTGTCGGAACTGCCACGGCTGTTTCAATGCCTTCGTCTTCGATGCCCTCGGGCTTGGAGTCGGCCTTCTTTCTCCACTGCTCAATCTGCTTAGCAACTTCAGAATTCCATCTTTTGGTGAGATAGGCAGCGTTGCGCATCTGAACACCTCTCGACTGCGGTTGAGAAGGGATGGGGCGATTCTGCCAGCCTGGGGCCAGGGTAATGTCGAAGAGTTGCGGAATGACAACTCGGAAGCTCTCCATCCTGCGCTCATCGGGCTTGCTATCGGGCTCTGGGTGAGTGAGAGCCTGGACCTCAGCCTTGGTAACATTGGACCAGAAATCCGAAAAGGCAGGAGACTTGGGGTTTAGCGATTTACGATAGAGCAGCTCGATCTGAGAAAAGATGTTTGCAACCGATTCGTCAATGAGTCGTTCACCCGAGGCCCGCGGAAGCGAAGCCAGGTTCCATGTCTCCCATGTACCAAACGAGAAAACCCACAATGTCTCACGCGGCGGGAGCTTGGGAGGGGCCATTGTGAGAAATCGTTGAACCTGCGCCACTAGATCGGGTGTCTTATTGGGCACGGGATATTGCTCCGAGATGTACAAATTGTCGAGCGCAGGCTTTTCCGTAAGGTTGACCTGCTCGGTAACCATCTCCAATGCTCGAATCTCGGTGCCGTAGAGGCTGTTGGAAGTCAGGCCAGGTTGCACATCGATCGGAGGGACAAAGGATAGCACGGAACGGCAGTTGAGCTAGGGGAAATATATTAGCGATTCTGTATGTACATGTATAGACAGGCTATATGAACAGCTGTGATGACGGCGCACTCACCT